ATTGTGTTAGTCATCCATACTTATATACTGAGCTAATGCTTCATGGATTATCAAGTTGGGCTACAACCCATAGGATGCTCCATGGATGCTCCATGGTGTTTATAGAACCCATGGGTCATGGAAATGAAAGTTGATGACAATTAGGGTTTATATGGGGTAACCCTAGTTGTAAAACACTATATAAGTAACACATTGTTCACCAAAATCAACCACTAGACATACAAGTGAGGGCTAGCCAATTTCAAGAAGTGATCTATTTCTCTCTAAGTTATTCCAAGTGCATTTGGTGTTGTGTGAGACATTTGAGGCATCACACTTAAGGTGCTAGGCTCATAAGGTTTTCAAGGAATCCTAACTACTACAAGGTATGTATTTCTTACTAACTTTTATGTTTAAAAGTTCCCCATGTATGTTAGATAGGATATGAACCTTGGAAAAACAATTTAGAAGGTATCATAGATAAAACACAGATCCAAGGTTTCTAGGGTTGCATGTACACCATACGAGTGTTAGAATGCTCAAAACCCTTCAGTGGTATCAGAGCCTAGGCTTGTTTGCTTGATATTTGATGTAAAATTGTGAAAAAAAACTGAAAATCTTGTTGTCTAGAGAGTGGACCGCCGATTCCATGGGGGGGACTCAACGAGTCCAAGCACATATTCATCCTACTCATCGAGCAGGTTCTTGCACTCGACGAGTAGGAGCCTCTGACTGCAGATTTTCGACTTTTGTTGCTGTAAATGGACTAGAAACATTACCCTAAACTGTTTTGGTGTTTTAAAACTTGTTTTACATGGTGTAATGGTTGTTCTAATCCATTTACAATGGCTAATATCAAGTTTTCAAGTTTTATATGGCTTATTTATGATTCTTGAAATTGTTGATATGCATATTCATGAACTTATGAGTTTAGAAGATCATATGAATTATTTGTAATATGTTTATTAGTTTAATACTTGATCATTATGTGTTTTAATGGAATCCATAATTTGTCCTCAAGTTATGGATTACCAAAAGTCTTTCTTTTTAAAGTCCATTAAAGAAATACATAGGTTATATAAAATGAAAAGTCATTCATTTTATTACATCATTAACTCATAAGTTATGACAAATGAAAGGTTTTGTAAAGTTACAAAACTTTCCCTCAAGTTTTGGAACATGTAAAGTCACTTTAAAAACTTTAGTTCCAACCCCTAGAATTTTAAAAGTTAAAATTCAACCCTGATACTTATAATATTATAAGTTAATAATAATAATAATAATAATAATAATAATAATAATAATAATAATAATATATATATATATATATATATATATATATATAAAGAAAAAAAGTCGTTTTACCGTTAGTAGGCCTCATTCACAAAGCCGGTGTATAAGGGGGAGTATAAGGTTGTTGCCTATAAAATGGCAGCTTAATGGGTGTCCACTCTCACCCACCACTTCCTTGACTGGTAGAGGGTTATTAGCCGAACGGGTAGGAAAATGACTTTAAATCCTCATTAAAAGTATAATGATACTAAAGTAACTAAATGTTTTTATAAATTCCCAATCTTAGCTACTTTAGGAAAATGTGAATAAGGTGCTAACCCATGAAATTACACTTTGCACTTTGTTTAAGTTGTTGGTGGAGGGTGTGTGATTAACCGGCACACTAACTTGGACTTAACAAGGTAGGAAAAGGGTAACTTAATGTTTATCATAGTATCGATGGAGCGCGTGTGGTTAACCGGCACGTCGATTGGGAGGTAAATATTAAGGGTACCAAGTAATTTGCATGGTTACTTCACACCTTGTTTTGTGATCCTCGACATCCCAGTCACAAAACTTGAAGGGCACAATCGAGATTGAAACATGCTCAATGAATCTCAAAGAATCTAGGAGTTTCAAAACCAATTAAAACCTAATACTTTATTTCGTTTTTCATGGTGGAAATTGGTGAATCGTCATTCACCTACCTTCAAATATTTTATAGCTTGGATTACGGCATCCCTCTTCTAAGTTATAAAATATTGTGTTGGGTCATAGCCTTAATATTACATTTAGGTGTTTTATTAAGGACTAATTTTATATCTAATCTAAACTTGTCTTTCTTCTTTTTCAGATGTCTTCAAACAATGCTACTTCTTGCTCAAACCCTATCGAATCCTTTTCTCTCATGAACATTTGTGGGAGAGTCATCTTTGATGGTTCCAACTTTATGGATTGGATCCAAAACATCAAGATTTTCACTCGCTACGAGGAAAAGGAATATGTCCTCGACAAGGAGCTAAAGGAAATTGATGATTCCACTGCTACTCCTGAGGAGATCGCTGAATTTAGGACTCATGAGAGAGATGCCATGAAAGTGGCTTGCATCATGATGGCCACAATGACAGTTGAACTCCAGAAGTCCTATGAGGACTATTACCCTTTTGAGATGCACCACGACTTGATGGACCGCTACCATCAAAGTGCCCGCCAATAGAGGTATGACATCATCTGCTCCATGATAACAAGTCGAATGAAGGATGGTGAACCCATCACCGGCCACTTGCAGAAAATGCAAAGGTATGTGGACCAGTTGTTGAAGCTAAATGTGAACTTCCCCGAGGAGTTGGAAATTGATATCATTTTGCACTCCTTACCTTCTTGTTTTGATCAATTCTGAATGACATACCACATGAATAAGGAGGAAGTTACACTCAGCAAACTTCAAGGACTCTTGAAGACCGCCGAAAGTGGTCTTAAGGGTAAGTCGGTTGTTACCACTCCTACTCCTACCGCGACCCCTGTCTTGGTAATCGGGCAAGGAAAAGGGAAGAAGAGGAAGAGCCCCTCGAAGGGCACCAATGGAAAGTACCTTGAAGGCTCCTATTCTAGTGGAACCAAGAAAGCAACTGTCACTCCTTCTGCTAACCCTAAAGAGGTTGAATGCTTCTATTGCCATGAAAAGTCACACTAGAAGCGAAACTATCCAAAGTATCTGCAAGATGTGAAGGATGGGAAAGTGAAACCTAACCATGCAGGTATTTACACTATATTGTCTAATAACTCACCCCATTCTAGTTCTTGGGTCCTTGATACCAGTTGTGGTATCCATATTTGTTCTGACTTGTAGGGACTAAGAAGAAGTGAGGATGTGGAGCATGGGAAGATAAGCTTAATCATGGGGAATAGGAAAACATCACCTGTCACCAAGATTAGAGTTTATACTTTGTTGTTAAGTAGTGGGTTAACATCACATTTGAATAAATGTTGTTACTCGTCTGAAATGGCTAGGAATATTATTTCTTTTCATGCTTTGTACAAACAAGGGTTTACTTTTTCTTTTGATAATGAATATGGTAGTATTAACGCTTTCTTTAATAATGTTTTTTATTTTAAAGTATTACCTTGTGATGGTGTGTATGAAGCCGTGTCTGTTGTAGATAACCTAGGAAATAATGTGTTGTGTATTGCTTCTTCCACTAACTTGGATAAAGCATCATTATGGCATTGTCGTCTTGGACATGTAAGTAAGAAAGGCATAGGCCAACTCCAAAAGGAGGGAGTCTTGGAGTCATTTGACCTAAAGTCGGATGATAGTTGTGAATCTTGTCTACTTGGAAAAATAGAAAAATCACCCTTCACTGGTTCTTGTGCAAGGGGTGAAGGTTTGTTGGATTTGGTACACATTGATGTGTGTGCACCCTTCATAACTGCCACAAGGGATGCTAACCGCTACTATGTGACTTTTACTGATGATTTTAGTAGATATGGATATGTCTACTTAATCAATCATAAGTCAGAAACCTTTGAAAAGTTCAAAGAGTTTAAGCAGGAAGTGGAGAATCAATTGGGCAGGAACATTAAGATGCTTCAATCCGATCGAGGTGGTGAGTATCTTAGTATAAAGTTCCTTGACTATCTTAAGGAATATGGGATTGTCTCACAATTGACACCTCCCAGGACACCACAGCTTAATGGAGTGGCTAAGAGGCGTAATTGAACCTTGTTGGACATGGTTCGTTCCATGATGAGTCGAGCTTCGCTACCAATCTCATTTTGGGGGTATGCCTTAGAGACTGCCACCCATATTCTTAATCTAGTCCCTACCAAAAAGGTTTCCAAAACACCTCATGAGATGTGGACCGGAAAAGTTCCAAATCTGTACCACATCAAGATTTGGGGTTGTAAGGCTTTCGTGAGGCACGATACTCTTGATAAGCTCGAACCCCGAAGTGAGAGGTTTATTTTCATTGGCTCTTCGTAGAAATCCTTCGGTTACCTCTTCTACAGACTTAATGATAATGTAGTCTTTGTAGCAAGGAGGGGAGGAGAGAGAGAGAGAGAGAGAGAGTGAGAGAGAGAGAGAGAGAGAGTTCATAAGCCAAGGAAACAGTGGGAGGCAAATTAACCTTCAAGAAATTAAAGAGTCAAGTGGTGAAGGAACCTTAAACACTAGCAATCAACCTGAGGAGGAAACTCCTGCTAATCCGACTGATGAGTATGTACCTCTAAGGCGTTCCACGAGAGTTAGGAATGCACCTGAGCATTAATATGCACTACTAGAAAAACAACATTTTACGATGCGCAATGCATGTCGTAAAACGCTCAGACGACACGCAAATACATGTCAAGGAAGGTCGTGTCATAACGAGAGACGAGATGCTTTTGCGCGTCATCTATAGACGACACGTAGTTACGACAAGCATTTACGATGCTCACTTACGACACGCAATGCGTATCAATGAAGGCCTTGTCATAAAGGAAGATGACACGCATTTGCGTGTCGTAACCTTACGATGCACGTTTAGGACACACATTGCGTATCATTATAGCCCCATCATAAATGAAGATGACACGCATTTACGTGTCATAAATTTCAACAACCATTTACAATATGCATATACGATATGCCTTTAGGATACTCTTTTACACATAATACAAAAATATAGAAAAAAATATATACCAAATCAATCAATTTCATCCAATAACATCATGTCAAAAAAATTGTAATACATTGATATTAAAGGGATTTAATTGTAAATTGTTATTAAGAGGTTTTCCCTAACTATATAACCTAATACTACATTACTATAAAAGGGCACCTTTTTAGTGGCCATGGGCCCATTGCCCATGTATACTGGCCTAAATATTTGGTTTATGAAGCTATCCCATACACTAAGAAATTCATCAAGATCCTCTGTTGTTTTCTTAACTTCTCCACTCTTGTTGTTTTGGATCTCTTTTGCCATCTCTTTAACTGTGTCTTGAAGAAACTTTGCATATTTTATTCTTGCATTTAGCTTTCTTTTCAATGCTTCCTAGAATAAAATCAAACACCACACTAGTCCACAAAACTCTATAAAAATCCTCCATAAAGAGAAAAACTTTGAAGAGTTTTAGAAGACTAGGTCTAAGAAGTTGATTCAATTAAGATACCTGTTTTTTCATCGTGTCCTGAAGAGTAAAAGGTAACATATTGGGGAATACTTTCATCTTGTCCTGAAATACTCTTGTCAAAACCTTTGTCTGCATGCATAGACATATGATACAACAACAATTGCAAATTCAATAAATCATAGAAAAGTAAATAATAATAATAATAATAATAATAATAATAATAATAATAATAATAATAATAATAATAATAATAATAATAATAATAGTAATAATAAAAGTAAATCAAAGCTTACAAAATTTGAGACTATGTAAGATTGGAAATTAGAATCATCATAGACTATTTCAACTAGTCGCATTGCATTCAATTACAAAATCCCCCTTGGATTGTAAGCAGAAACACCATTGACACCTCCACAAAACATGATATTTAGCAATTCAATGACCGATGCATTATGCAATGAGCACAAATATAAACATCATGCAAACTAATTTGACTATTGTTATGATAATGTATTAAATAAACCTCATTTTCAAACCTCAGATATAGTAGACTTAGCTAAAGCTAAGCCTTCAGTGGTGCTTGCAGCCAAAAAAAATAAAAAAATAAAATAAAAAGATGATTTCGACTTCACAAAGTTGTAGCATCTGAAGAAAGAGGATTTAAAG